AATTTCTGATCATGTCTCAACTGAATCGCCCACCAAATTGGAAGGAATCCGAAGATGAGGTTTTGTGCAAGTATTGGGTTGAAATTTCGGAGGATGGTTCTATCGGCCATTATCAATCTGGGCCCGAGTTTTGGAGGCGAGTTGGAGTCCTTTTTAATGCTAAAGGATGGGGAATTCCGCGTAGTGATGGAGCCTTGACTTCTCGATGGGCAATCATCCGCCAACAATGTGGGTCGTGGAATGCGGCGTTGAGGAGAGCAAGCGCGGTACCAATGAGTGGAGAAAATCTAACTGATGAGGTTAGTTGAGTTTTAATAATAATTATTATGTGTTTGATTTTTTATTTAATTACATAGTTTATACTCATAATTATTACATATGCCTTGATTGTTTAGGTTAAACGAGCAAAAGAAATTTTCGTAGCGGACACCGGGAAGAAATTCAAGTTGAACCATTGTTGGGACATACTCCACAAGGCTCCAAAGTTTATGGAAATATGGACTAGCCCGGTAGCACCCATTCCACCAATGACCGACGCTTCATCGACAATGCCATCCTGCGAAAGTGATAGTCATGATGCTCATGGGTCTCCTGCTGTGTTGACCCGTCCGGAAGGTCGAGATAAACAAAAGAAGAAGAAAAGAGGAACTCCATATTCTTCCAATGAAGCTTGGGAGAAGAATATAGCCAATTTGGTGGAAAACTCGGACACACATGCAAGGTTGGCGCTTGCTAGAGAGGAACGCGATGTTACAAGAGAAGCAAGAGATAAAGCGAGAGACTTAAGAGATAAAGCAAGGGAAGCAAGGGATAAGAACATACACGATATGAAGATCATGAATATGGATCTTTCTCAATTCAGTCCTCGAACTAGAGGTTGGTATCAGATGCAAAAGGATGAGATTTTGGCGTCGTACGGAGATGCTAGTGGAGGATCCACTAATTATAGCCCAAATGATGACTTTCACTATGGACCCGACATGTAATGTTTTTAGTGGATCGCTGATTTTTTTAGTTTATTGTTTTATCTAGTTTTATTTCTCTTTGATTGTATGCTATTTCGATTGTAAGTCTTCAATTAGTAATGCAAGAGTCTTCAATTATTAAAAACACAACGACAAATCTGAAATACATCATTACAAGGAAACATAAGTAATGCAAAGAAACATAAGGAATACATTAACGTTAGGATTACATCATATTTCTACTCTCCTCCATGTTTTGCCCACAAATGCTCAATCAAGTCGTTTCTCAATGCGTGATGTCCTGAACGATCACGAATCCTACCATGTCTGGCCAGGTACTCCATTAAGGTTGGAATGTTATGCTCAGGTGGATCCCAGCTGACATTCGGATTAGCTTCATATTCAATGTTCTCCACTAACTCATCTCCGTACTCGTACCGTTGATCTTCCACTATCATATTGTGCAAAATAATACAAGTTAACATAATCTCACCAAGTGACTGTACGTCCCAAAGACGACTCGGTCCTCTAACAATGGCCCATCTCGATTGTAGTATACCAAATGCTCTCTCAACATCCTTGCGGTAAGCCTCTTGGTACTTTGCAAACAACTTTTTTTTCTGGTTACTTGGATTGCTAATAGTCTTCACAAATGTAGCCCACGCAGGATAAATTCCATCAGCCAAGTAATAACATTGATCATACGTCTTACCATTCACCTCATACCTAACATTGGGAACAAATCATCGTACTGCTTGATCGAATAGTGGGGATACTCCAAGAGTATTGATGTCATTGTTTGATCCCGGTGTTCCGAAGAATGCATGCCAAATCCATGTATCGTAGGATGCTACAGCTTCAAGGACAATGGTTGGTTTCTTCTTGTGCCCAGTGTATTGTCCTGCCCACCCAGTCGGACAGTTCTTCCACTCCCAGTGCATGCAATCAATAGAACCAATCATTCCTGGAAAACCACGTTGTTCAGCATGACGAAGGAGGCGACGAGTATCTTCCACTGTTGCTGCACGTAAGTATCGAGCACCATAAATGTTGGTGATAGCTGAGCAGAACTTTCTCAAACATTCCAATACAGTGCTCTCACCCATTCGACAAGTTTCATCCAACGAGTCTGCTGAGCATCCATATGCAAGCATACGAAAAGCACTAGTAAGCTTTTGATGTGGGGAGAATGAGTCATGACCTGCACAATCTTTTCCTTGCTTGAAGTAGACATCGTAGTTGACAACATCATTCATGACCCGGTTGAATAAGGCAGGGGGCATCCGATATCGTCTTGTGAAGGCTTTGGCATCATACGTTGGATTTGGGTTGAAGTAATCTTCCATCAAGCGTTTGTGACCGTCTTCCTTGTTGCGCCTCATTGATTTTCGTGACGATGAACCACGACGAGAAGTGCTTCCGTACATCATGAGCATCGTTGTACGTTCAACATCAAGTTGACAATCATACTCCCATTGCATGTCATCAGCTTCCCTTTCCCTCTCATCAGCTTCCCTTTGCCTCTCATCAGCTTCTCTATCAGGGGAATCCATGAGGGAAAAAGAGTTTTGGGTGGCAAAAGAGAAGAATGAAGGTTGAATATTTTTTTCAAGAGAGAAGGTTGATAGATGGATGAGTAGAATGATCAAGTTCTGAGGGTCATTTATATAAGCACGAAATGATTCCTTCAATAATAGTGGTCAAAGTTATCTTCCAGATGATGACACAACTCTAAATGATTAAAGTTCAATGAACAGTTGATGGCACAACTCTAAATGATTAAAGTTCAATGAACAGTTGATGGCACAACTCATTCTGATTAAAGTTGAATGAACAGTTGATGACACAACTCATTCTGATTAAAGCTGAATGAATAGTTGATGACACAACTCATTCTTATTAAAGCTGAATGAACAGTTGATGGCACAACTCATTCTGACCAAAGTGAAAGCACATTTGATAACAGAACTCATTCTGACAAACATGTGAAGTGTCTATGATCGATTTAAACAAAATATTGTGATTTCGTCATTAATGAAATCATATTTAACAATAATTTTTTTATGTCAAAATTTAACAAAATTTTATCGAAACGTTCGTCTTAATTAATTATTACTAACTGTATATAAATAATCTACAAATTATCTAATTAAAGTGACGAAATCTACACTAAACTAGATTATCACAAAAGAAGAAGATTTGACATTCTAGCATTTTAGCTTTGCTTGTTGGAGCAAAACCACATTTTGAATGCCAAAATGCCAAATATTTTTAGCTTTCTAGCATTTTGGCATTTGATTGTTGGAGATGGTCTAAGGCTTTACAACCAAAAGGTAACTCTACAAGTTTCTAAGTCTTATTAGACTCTCATGATTCCATTTTATTAATAATGGCTTCTTCCCACAAATCTGCACCTTACAGAAGTTTGAACTTCTAGCAGACTTGTAGGATCGTTCTTAGGGTGTAAATAACAAACTCATAACCAAAATCCATTATCGATTTATGGTTCGTTTGCTTCTTCTGAGTTCATACTCAGATTCACCACCCCCACTAGTACCATTATTTCTAATAGCAGGTTGAATATCACCCCCACTATTTCTTAATTTAAATGGAAGTCTATTGGCATCCATGGATTCCACAACATAATAAGTATTTCATTTCGTAAGCCTGTGTGTTTTAAGATATCATATCTAATTAAAACACACTCATATGCTCTTCTAGTAATCATATTGCTCTAATTCTCTAATTCTACCACAAACATTTCAAGAGCATCACATCAAACCATTAATCAGAGCAATCGGTAAAGCATTTCTTTTTCATCCAAGTTAACATCTTAACACGTTTACCCATATCAAAATAAAATGTAAAATTTCTGATTGGGTAATTTAACTTGGCCATATAACTGTCTTTATTACGATATACCACTCACCAAAGGATCCCTTCATTCTGGAGCATGCAAGACAACTTTCTAGATGTAAGATTCATTACCACTTTGTCAGAACCATCAACAATAATGGTGAGGGAAGTGCCCAACACCACTTTCTTCTTTAATACACCTCAATGTGTGGTTTGAGCATAGCTCGTTTATAACACATACTTTGAGGTGCCGATATCTAGTCACCATTCTTCATGCCACTACAAGAAAAAACATTTTCTGCTACCATTTTCTTGGCAACCATAGAAAAATGGTTGCTTATAACTAAGTTTCGACAACCATTCTTAAAATGGTTGCTGATACTCAACTCTAGTGCAACCATGAAATATATAGTTGTTGATAGGTCAAAACTTCGGCAACCATTCATAAAATGGTCGGTGATACGCTGCTCTCAAGCAACCATAAGGTGAATGGTTGGTGATAAACCAATACATCAGCAACCCATCAAAAAATAGTTGCTAATACACAACTCTAGTGCAACCATTAGCAAAATAGTCGCTGATGGGCCTAAACTTCGCCAACCATTCATAAAATGGTCGGTGATACGCTACTCTCAAGCAACCATGGGATGAATGGTTGACGATAAATCAATACTTTAGCAACGCTTCCCAAAATAGTTGCTGATACTCAACTCTAGTGCAACCATAAGTAAAATAGTCGTTGATAAGTCCAAACATTGACAACCATTCATAAAATGGTCGGTGATACGCTACTCTCAAGCAACCATGAGGTGAATGATTGACGATAAACCAATACTTCTGCAACCCTTCTCAAAATAGTTACTAATACTCAAATCTAATGCAACTATTAGTAAACTAGTCGCTGATAAGCCTAAACTTCGGCGACCATTCGTAAAATGATCGATGATATGACACTCAGTCTCAAACAATCTTGGGGTGAATGGTTGACGATGAATCAATACTTCAGCAACCCTTCATATAATAGTAGCTGATACCTAACTCTAGTGCAACCATAGTAATATAGTCGCTGATAGGTAAAAAATTCAGCAACTAGTCATGAAATGGTTGGTGTTACAATGGTATATATATACAAATTTTACAGAGTGAAACTGAAAACCCTACCTTGTTTTCCTCCTTTCTCTTAGCGGCCGCCTCTTTCTATCCCTTTTCATTTTCTCCCTGACGAAAGAAATAGACCAGCACATCGTTCCTCTAGGCGGAATCATCTCCGTCATAGCTTACCGGTTTCCTCTTCGCCGGCGTCGTCTCCCTCTACGCTCCAGGCTTCCCCCGATCTTTGATTCCTCCGCAAACTTCAGAACAAGCCCTTATCCCAATAGAAAAAGAGGCTACTTGTGACCAGCACTTCCTTCAAACTTTGCTCTCCCTCATCCGTCGTCGATGGTGAAAAGGATGCCGCCAATAGTGACTCCATCAGGTAAGTCGCCACTCCCCCATGCCATTCTTCTTGAATTTGTTTATATGAGTTGGGATTCAGATAAGAAAGGAACCCTGAAATTTTTAGGGATTTCGATTATTTTGTTGGCCATTTTAGTTCCAAAATCGAATCCCTGACTTTGTTCTTCCTCGTCGTTTGGGGATTAGCAAAATCAGATACGATTGGTTAGATGGAAAAGGTTATCTTAGGTTTCTTATAAACGAGAGTTTACAGTGCCCATCATTTCTTAGACTAGATAAATTTCTCCAAATGATGCCACTTCGCTTGTTCATTCCTTTCAGTGATTTATGATAGGTTCGGTAGCAGAAGCACCACCACTTGATCCCATTTTAACGCGGCAAACCTTGAAAGAATTAGAAGAGAACTCCACAAGACTAGTCCCTGACTCCCTGCTGTCTTTTAACCCCTGCATATCTTCTGTTTGGTTCTTTTTCTACTGTGTGTGTGGAGTTGTATTGGTTTGAGCAGCTGCAAAAACGATTTCGTTTTCTGATTTGCCTAATAATACTGCTGCTACCGATTACACTACTCATTTATGCCCCAACTTTTTTGTAATAGGATATTGCTATGAGAATACCAGAGGTACTTAAATTTGTTGGTAAACAATTCAGCATGTTTTTCTTGCCTTTTACTTTCGTGTTAATAAAGAATAGTGTTTAAGGAATGCCAAGGATAAGGATGGCAGGTTCTAGCTAGTTTATGTTTTGTCTAGAAAGTTAATTAATGGTCTATCAGAATTACCCTTCTAATCTTGCACCTGTAACTGTAAGTGAACAAAAATATGTCCAAATTGAAGTCATTTATGCGAAGTACTACAGCTGGTAAGAAAAGAATAGACACATCATATTCATTAAGCACTTTTGATAATTCATGTCTTTGTCATATTTTACAGGTCTCTATAAGAAAGCATATTTACAACACTAACCTCTGTGATTCTGCATATTATTGTAGGTTTAAAGAAGTTTTTTCTGCATACTCTCTTCTTCTGCATGTTTTTTTTTGCTTGTTTCTTCTGCTTATGTTTTGCTGTCTTTGCTGCACATTTCTACTTGTGTTTTTCAGCAAACTTGTATGCATATTCATGGAATATATTCTATTAAAAGGAGCCAACCTAAGGAGCCGTTAAGTGTTTCAAATTCTTCTAGTTGAGGCTTGCTTTTCTTTTCGCTTCCATCCTTCTACCCTGCCTCTAGCTACTTGTGATTGAATTAGAGGTGTAATAAAGGGAAGGACCTACTGCTTGCCAAAGAAAATGCCTTACTGCTAAGTGCTAACAAACTACTAGTGGAAAGAGGCGAAGATGACTTAGATTTTGGAATTATGATTGTTATTATAACCATGATTATCTTTTGATTTATACGATGAGTAATTATATAAACAAAAGACTGTATATGCTGATTTGATGTCTTTTTATTGACTTTGCAGATGGATTGCATCTTTGGGTTAGTGTATGAAGATTACTTGTAGGTAGCGGCCTGTATTGATTTGGCTAATCTTTGTACCGGTCATATTAGGATTGAGAATGAGAAGCCTATTTTTTTTTTATATGTACGTAGCATACACTGATGCTTATTTTTCTCAGTATTTTGTAACATCATTAATTCAATTCCTATTAATATATCATTATAATTTTCACAGCTATAGCTATTATGCAAATCCTGTCTTTAATAGCTTCGTTTTAATTTTAAATATGTACGGTAGAAAATGACAATTTATGGCAACTTTCTACTACAGTTGTATTGCATTTCTGCAACCATATGATGGGTCGCTAGAGACATATATTGGTAACCTTTTCACGTTTCTGCAACCATGTGATGGGTTGCTAGAGACATTTATCGGCTACCATTTTATAAGTGTCGCTCATGTTAGTTTTCCAGCAACCATAAAGCATAGTCGTCCAAAACACTCATTGCCTACCATTGTATGACGGTTGGTAAAATTCAGTTTTCAGCGACCATGACAAATGGTCGCCCAAAACATTTCTCCGGCGACCATTTACAGTTATAGTCGCTATGAGGTTTCAGCGACTCGCTTTTGCCGACCATGCCAGCGACTCTGATATATGGTCGCTCCAATCTTGTTGCGACCATTTTTCAACTTTGGGCAACCATTTTTGATGGTTGCAGATAGTGTTTTTTCTTGTAGTGTGGGTTACCAACAAGGTTAACCTCTGCTTATCTAAGTGATCACAACCAACCATCCTCTTCTTCCATCAAGCTAACTCTTGAACCAATGTTAGACTTGTTCATACACTTTCGTGTCATATGACCTAGTTTTGCACAACATAGTGTCATTCTTGGAGGATTGGTCGGTGATCTTTTGGTTACCACGAAGGATACCATTCTAATTGGTGTGGATCTGGTTCGGTTTGCTACTCTTTTCTTGAAATTTCAATGTTTCAAAGCAACCTGAGTGGTTCACTTTGTATTGACAACCAATACTTCTAATCTCATAAATATGGTATACATTTCACTAGCATATCTACTATAGAGTATGCATTCATATAATAAAATCATTATATATTTTTTCATGACATAATACAAAATTGTATCCTAATCATAACCATGCATCGATTCTAGCTTTTCTTTTCTAGCATTCTCAATACTTCTCAATTTCATGTATAAAGATATGTGAAATTGATTCCAGTTTATCATTTATTGATAACTCATGAGAAAGGTTTCCGTTCTTACCCTTTTCTGGAATTCATTGTCTTCTGACTTCGCAATGAATCATCATCCGATTGGTGACCATGCTCAGTGAGCATAGTGAGCAGCCCAGGAAGGAAAGCCCAGGATAACGCGGGCTTGTGGAGCTCACTCGGCCGTCGAGCATCAACATGATCATAGGGCAAAAACCCTTCTGTCATCATCACAAGGACCTGCACCTTTTTCTCATTCAATTGCTCTCCAGCGCCTCGAATAATATATTTGATTATTCATAAGGGAACAACAACAAAAAACGCAGAGGAAAGGGAATTAAATAATTAAGAGAGACTTATTCGACTTCCAGTGAAACCCGGACCAATTTTCCCTTTTTGGAGGTGTGGGACTCCGCCCGAAGCTGCTGCCCGGTCCAATTAGTTGCGAAGAAAATCATTGCCGCATCTCTGTTACACACATGCTAGCTCCAATATTTTTGGTTGGGTGAGCTGGGCATCTTCGTGGATGTGACACAAAATTGGGGAAGTTAATTCCCTTTCTTGTGTGTATAAATGCAACCGATCAAAGTCATCTTTGTATCAATTAGAAATTCTTTTGTCCTGCAGCAACTACCAAACAAAATTTCCATACATATATATATATATATATATGACTTCTACGGTGCCCAGGGCAAAATCCGGATACAGGTACCTTGGCCGATCTTAATCATTCGTTTCCAATCTCCACGGCTCACGTTTGTTAAACCTAGCTGCGCCACTAAATAACTAAACAAATTACAAAAAGCCTCCTCCGCGTTAAGTTTGTTTTCATCCTAGTCCAACTAATTGCCCCGATTAAATTAAATGGATTAAGACTGCAAACCCAATTGGATAGACCCACTGCCGCCCTAACCAATTTCCAGTCTCCCTAACCAATTACACGATCCCTCTCTCGTCTTGGAGGGACGCCCCTTCACAGTTCCAAGAGAAGCTCCCCATCCAATTTGAACACCCCAACTTAATCATCTATTTGAATCCCAATTACTTGCATCCACATTCGACGTAGTTTGAATTTCCCAAATTATTATGTCTTGTTTCTTCTTCACCATTTTATTTCCCTCGCCTATCTCTTTCTAACACGATTACGGCGACCATGTCTATTATTTTGTTCATCAAACTTTTCATTTGCAAAAGAACCCTTGAAAGAGGTTTGCTAACCCTAGGGTTCATGTCACTAGTGCTTTGTCATCTTGTCTTAGCGTTATTGTCATTTTCTCGAAACTTCTATCACTCGGTGAAATTAAGGTTTCCTGATATGCAGTGTTCGTCTCGCCCAGATGATTGAGGAAGGAGGTGAAGAAGACCTAATTTGATTCGAATCAGATGGAGAGGTCTCCTTAATTTGTGTTTATGTATTAACGTGCGTTTAGGACTAATTCTAGTTGGACTGGGTCTGATCATTGATTTTTGCAGGCTTTTAAATAACATTCAAACGTGGGCTTGTACATGACCCATGCAATATTCAAAAGTGGGCCTGGAACGTGCGAACCCATTAGTTTTCTCCTGCGGTATCAATTCGTGCGCCAACCCTAGTTTAACTAGCTTTACTTACCCTAGTTTAACCGAGTTAACATCATCATTACTACATATCTTCCCAAATCTTCTAACTCTTGACATTCCAAACTCAACCCCCACGATCACTTTTTCTTACACCTACAATCTCTCTTTCCTCCATCTTCACCTTCCCTTGTTCCTTCTTCCTCTGACTCCATGGCAAACAAAGGCAAATCGTTTGCTGAAATGGGCATACTAACTCTTTCAAACGACGACTGCCGAACCACCGCAAGTCTCGGGGACTATCTTTCATTCACAAGCAAGACATCTATTGTGGCCGAGTACGAGTTCATCCACCTGAGTCCTTTCCCTCAAGAAGTGAAGAAGTTAATTAAAAATCTTGGCTGGGAAAAGTTCTTCGATCTCCGGAGTCGAGGAAGCACCATTTACTGCCCGCATGTGGTGAGGAAGTTCTACCACAATTTAGAGCTGTCTGGTCCCTCCGATTCTCAGCTCGTGTCGATCTTCCTGTGTTATAGAGTCTGCTTCCAGCCTCATCAGTTTGCTGAGATCCTCGATCTCCCCGCCGCAGGACACCACATTGATAGCAGAAGCGATATTCGCCGGCTGTACGATTTTGAGTTTGAAGTTGAACTGGCGAAACTGACGAACGGGCGCATCCAGGCTTCTTTCCTCCCAGATCCTCTTCGATTCCTCCATTGGATGATCGTCAACTGCTTCATGCCAAGGTACAGTGGTCATTCGGTAATTCGTAAACTTGACCTGTTTATTCTTGTGCAAGCTCAAAGAGGTGTTCCTGTTAACCTCGCATGTCTCATGTGCCTGAACATGGTTGAGGCTGCTCCTAGAGGGGAAAACTGGTACACTGTCTTTCCATATGCCACCTTCTTGACCACCTTTCTTGGAAGGGTTGGGATGGATATGGGGGTTTATGCTAGGGAGGACCATTCCGCCTATTTGCCAGTCTACCGTATCGTCGAAGTGACCAATACTTTTTATGACCTTCGGCATACGGAGCATGAAGAGACCCCTGAGGCATCCTCAAGCAAACGTCCTCAGCTTACATGAGAGTCGATTGATGCAGGGCGGGGTGGAGCGTTGGAGCAACAAAGGGGCCAGCAATGGATGTCTTCTGTTAACAAGTTTACTAAGTCTTTGTTGGTTTTTTTTTTTCAGTCTTTTGTCTTTTCCTTTATTCTCCAGCACTCAAAATTGTCAGGTACTTGAAACCCAACAAAGAATTAGTAAACTTCTTAACAGAAGAAATCCATTGCTGGCCCCTTTGCTGCTCCAACGCTCTACCACGCCCTGCATCAATCGGCTCTCATGTAAGCCGACGACGGTTGCTTGAGTAGGCATCAGGGGTCTCTTGATGCTCCGTATGCCGATTCTCAATAAAAGTATTGGTCAATTCGGCTATACGGTACACCATCAAATAAGCGCACTGGTCCTCTTTAACATAAACCCCCATATCCATCCCAATCCTTTCAAGAAAGGTGGTCACGAAGGTTGCATAGGGAAAGGCAGTATACCAATTTTCCCCTTTGAGATCAGCCTCAAATATGTTCAGGCACATGAGAGATGCGAGGTTAACAGGAACACCTCTTTGAGCTTGCACAAGGATAAACAAGTCAAGTTTACGAATAATCGAATGACCACGTTACCTTGGCAGGAAGCAGTTGACGATCAACCAGTGGAGGAATCGACGAGGAACTGTGAGGAAGGAAGTCTGGATACGCACTTCGTGAGTTTCGCCAATTCAACTTCAAACTCAATATCGTACAGCCGCCCATGATCGCTTCTTCTATCAATGGGGTGTCCTCCGGGGGGAAGATCAAGGATCTCATCAAACTGATGAGGCTGAAAGCAAACTCTATGTCCCAGCAAGATCGACGATAGATGAGAATCACAAGGCAATAAATTTGTAGATTGAGGTAGAACTTCCTCACCACATGGGGGCAGTAACTGGTGCTTCCTCGACTCCGGAGATCAAAGAACATTTCCCAGCCAAGATTTTTTATTAACGTCTTCACTTCTTGAGGGAAAGGACTTAGGTGGATGAACTCGTATTCGGCCACAATTGCGGTTTTGCTTGTAAATGAAAGATAGTCACCGAGATTGGTGGTGGATCGGCAGTCTTCGTTTGATAGAGATAGTATCCCCATTTTCGCAAATGATCTACTTTTGTTTGCCATGGAGTCCGGAGGAAGAAGGAACAAGGGGAAGGTGAAGATGGAAGAGAGAGAATTAGGTGTAAGAATGTCAAGAGTTAGAAAATTACGGAAGATATGTAATGATGATGGTAACTCGTATAGGTTAAACTAGGGTAAGTCATGCTAGTTATACTAGGGTTGGCGCACGAAGTCATGCTTCATCTAATACTATACCCAACCATTAATGATTAAACCCTAAGTTCTAATTATCTAAATCATAAACTATAAACCCTAAGATGGAGCATTCATTTTTTGCCTATATTTAGACGAATCATAACCGTTGATTATTGTTGATTATTGTTTCTAATTAAATTGATCTTGGGGTATAAAATTTTGAGAACTAAAACATAGATTTTGATCTTTAAGAATTAGATTATAATATAATGTACAAAAAATCAATCAATTTTTTGCCTATATTTAGAAGAATCATAGCCAATGAGCGAACCGTCATTGAAACAACAACGACACTAAAATGGCAGACATATACGAAACAACGACACTAATCGAATATATTCCCCGTAATTAATGATATCAACTTCATCTAATGCAAATTGTCTATCTGAAAACGGCATATGAAGGAAATGGAAATAGGGTAACCAAAAATTCATTTTGGAACGAAGCAAATGTTTCGGGCGGCGTGAGAAAATAGAAAGGAACAAATGGGACATTCCGGCACAGTTTGTATGTGGTATAGAAAGAATGAGAGATCTAAGTTTCACATTTTTATTTTTTAATATACTTATCAAACTAATTATTAATTTAGAATATCGACATATCCCTTTTAGGTTTTTCCTTTTTGAGTAATCTAATGATAGATTACACAAAATACGAAGCAACAACGACATGTCTCTTTATTGTCTTCCATCTACTAGTATTGATAATAATCCCTACATGGTGGATTATGTTTGAAATTATTTATTCACTTTCTATCTATAGTGGTTGTTATATTGGTTTATCGCTTTTCCTCTAAATGTACTATTTGCGCCTAACTCATCGGCTTACAAAGTCATAGAAATAATCCAAAACCCTTTTTGACATTTTTGAAATCTCATAGATTTGCATAGATTTGGATCCTAAAATTACTATGGCATAATAAACTTCACATTCACAAATCAACTATCAACCATAGTTCAGCAAAATCACAAGAAATAAATGCATTTAAGAGTTCATAATCTACCAAAAATCATAAGCAGTAGCAATGATTTTTAGTACCCAGCCTAGCAAATCACGAGAAATAAATGCATTTAAGAGTTCATAATCTACCAAAAATCATAAGCAGTAGCAATGATTTTTAGTACCCAGCCTAGCAAATCACGGGCAGAGGCAGTGATTTACAATCGCCGAAACTAACCATTCGGAGTATGTTAATTAAATTTCCAATTCAGAAAACCTTTCTTTTCTAACTTCAAGAGTATCTAGAACTAGATCTAAAACCACAGATCACATCCACCCATATCAAAAATTCTAGAACACACACAACCATTTTTTTAGTATTCAGGTTCACAAATCATTTAGTCTATAGCCATATAATCCAATTTACTTAAGTTAAAATTCTCAAGAGTCTTAGTAGAACTCACCTAGACCCCTTCGCTTCTAAAACCTGCAATAAGTCAATATCGATAGTCAGAGTCTTTCAAGTTTAAAAACACAAAAAAAAAAACTCAGTGAACGAACTTACCCAACTCGGCTATGCAACGCAAGAATCTTACCTAAATAGTTTTTTTTTTTCCCGATGTGAAGCCTGAGTGCCGTCGACCTCCCTTTCCTCTCGCATAAAAATAAAAAATCCAGAAAAATAAGCAGAAACCCAATCATAATCCAAAAACTAAAAACCAGAAAGTATGCATGTCGAGTTTACCTGGACAACTCGGCTTCGATTAGGATTCCCGACCAGATTTGTGTGGCCGACGGCGGTCGAGAGGAGAGAGGATTAGAGAGGAGAAGATCGCCGTTTTTGGCGAAGGAGAGGGAGAAGAGGGCGGCGGTTAGGGTTTCGCCTTCTTCTCTGGAAGAGAAGAAAAGAGACGGAGAGGGAGGCGAGAGCGAGAGAAGAGAGAGAGACTAGTGAGCGGCGCTTTCTTAGTGTGCTAGGGGTTTTTTTTTTTTTTTTTGGTTTTCTCTGGAGTTAAAGAGCGAAGAGGAGCAGAGAGAAGGATCGAGATCGAGATCGAGGGATAGAGGGAGAGAGAGGCTGCTGGTTAGATAGGCTAGGGTTTTGTTTCTCTGAAGAAGAGAGGGGAAAGGAGAAGAAATGAAGAATCGAGAGAGGGAGGAGTGAGAGGCGGCTGCCTCTTTGCTTAGGTTTAGGGTTTCCAAAAAGAGGCTTTATCTACCTCAATATGTTAATTGACAATTTTGCCATTAGGGTTTCCAAAAATTAACAGGTCATGCCACCGCGATCTCGTGGAAAGACCAAATTGCCCCCGCTGCGTCTCTGTATTAAAAATGACCAAAATCAGTGCTTACGGAGTTTCGAACTCGTGTTCTCAACCTTCTAAATCCAAGATGTTAACCAGTTGGGCTGCAGGTTCATAATATGTGAATTTAACAATCCTGGTATTTTATTCGTTTAAAGTCCTTAATACCAAATGTGAAATGCGGATTAAGTTAGTTTTGCTTCTTGTCTGATACATCGAATTTCCTCTTAATAATTAAAATTCTTGCTTTCATTTTAGTAATACCATGATAATCTAAATGAAATCTCATTAACAAAATAACAATATCTACTGAACATATGTTCAGTAGAACGTGGTAAAAATTATGATTAAACCTATCAAAGTTAACAAAATCCTTAATACGAGAATTACGTTCAGTGGGACGTGGTAAAAATTATATTCAAAACGATCAAAGTCATAAAACGAACTACGTTGACTTTGATCCCGTCTATTGGGTACGTAGGCAACCGATAAGGTTTGAGTCCAACTAACCAATTAACTTTATATTTTAATTTTTATGTTAGTGGGCTTATAATTAAATTACAATTAATACGATTTAATTCTTTAGTGGCCCAGTAAGCCCCTAAAAAATCTAATCATGAACTAAAATGTCCAACAACGTATTAGTTAAGTCATAAGAAATATATTAATAATCCAATGGGATTTTAAAATAGGGTTAATATTTTCGTATGGCCTAAACTTTGACCAAAATAAAAATCCTGACCAATCTTTTCGATCTATAACATCCTGGCCCGAATTATACACCAAAATAAACAATTTGGCCAGATCAGACTTTTGACCGTTAACTTGGACGGTCAAACGCGTTGACCGTTAGTCAACGCGCCATGTCACTGCCAAGTCAGCATAAAATATTTAAAATAATTCACAATTTCCACACATTCCCTAATTTTAAATTATTATAAATTAAAAAAAATCATCTAATAGCTTACTTAAACCAAAAATAAAAACGAAAAAAATTAAATATTTATCAGATCTTCTAACTTGGCAGTGAAGTGGCGCGTTGACCGTTAGTCAACGCGTTTGACCGTCCAAGTTAACGGTCAAATATCGGGTTTGGCCAAATTGTTTATTTAGGTGTATAGTTCGGGCCAGAATGTTATAGATCGAAAAGATTGGCCAGGATGTTTATTTTGGTCAAAGTTCAGGCCATACGAAAATATTAACCCTTTAAAATACACAATAATTAGCAAAATAACACCCAACACATATAAAACTTATCAACTTAAGTAGTACCGATTTAGGGCGTCGTGAGGTGTGATTTCACTTCCCCACACGTAACCGTACTCCTGAACCCAAATCTCTTAATCGCAGACCATATCTCGGTTCTTACCCTAAGGTTAGAGCCGATTCGAAGAGTGTTCGATCCACTCCAAGTAAGATCAATGGCGACTCCCAAAAAGCCGAACGCGACGACCCCGAAGGACCCCCGGAGGGACGGTTGCGACAGGATTTAGGGAGAACAAGATGCAACATGAAGACACAAAGTTACTTTAACATTTGGTCTTCAAAGTGAGCTCCCATGTATTAAGCATTTGGGATCAATTTGCTCTTAATTGCCCACTTTTTTGTCTATTTCTCTTGGTTTTCGCTATCAAATTGACTAGGAAACACATGACTTTTTTCATATGCACCTCTTATTGGATTTCTTGATATTGAATTTCTCGCAATGAACCTCTTTTTGACAATGTCTTTGACTCTCATCTTCAAACTCACCCATATCACCCTAGTGTTTAAGATTATAGATGGTGGTATTATCTCTTTTATATCTAATTGTCTTTCCCTATGTTTCTTTTGATAGTATAATTAAAGGCTTGTGTTTCACATATGAATATGCTATGGATTTTAGGGAGAACAAGAAGCAACATGAAGACTAAAAGTTACTTTAACATTTGGTCTTCAAAGTGAGCTCCCATGTATTGAGCATTCTAGATCAATTTGCTCTTAATTGCCCACTGTTTTGTGTACCTTTACTTTCACATTAAAATATTAATACTGAAGTTAACAATGAGGCATCTAAAAGCTCAACTTTTAAGTATAACTTCCGCAGTGCACAAAATACTCATTTCATTTTTCTTTTATGCCTCGAGCTCTTGAGTCATGTTAAGAATGCTCACTCTGAAGTCTGAATCTTGGCACTAGGTCATTTTCTGGTTTCTATCTAACAACTTCTACAACGACACTCTCATGCATGGATGCAAAATGGTCACAAATTCTATAGCATATATTAGTTTATTCTAAATAAGTAAGGTTAATGTTGTATCGAGGGTGATTTTCACGTCATCGTGGTACATCTTCAACATGCTACTTCATATTGTTGATCAATCTCTAATGTGCCCTACATATATTCTTTCACATGATATAATTTCATATCTATAACGTACCGTGATGAATAAAAATGATAACAATTGAGAATAAAAAATATTTGATTAAACTACATGAATGGACAATCATTTTCTTTTATGATTAAGATTGGTTTTCTGTATGTAATGGAAGAAAACTCTCATTTTTTCCTACATGAAATACAAAATAAATTAGACACCAATTACTTTCTAAATATCACTGTTAGTTGTTTATATTCGTTATTCATTCCTATATATCTTTTTATCCATATAAAAAAAATTACATTATAAATGACAACAACACATTAAAAGACCTCATGCAAAGAAAAGAACAAAAAAAGCAAACAACTGAAATAAACTTTATTGGAAACGAAACTGAAATGGAAGTAACAAGTTCAAAGTGAAAGACACATCCAGCAGGTGCATTGCAAGTAGGAAAGCCATATCCCAAACACTAACACTAGAGCATTGGTATTTGTTCTAGCACGTCCCTACGTACGTAGGTAGCAACGTAACATCGAGATAGATAGATAGATAGATAGATAGATAGGTAGGTAAAGTAGAGATAATGTACGTATTTGGTGTTCCATTCAGATTCAACTAGCTACTGCAAATTTTCATGGAATTGAATCATGCACCTTCCTTCAAAGGAAGCTCCCCCGGTAGAAGACGTCGTTTCGCATTCCTTCAAATACGGCAGCAACTCAGACAGACATATGCCGCAATCCTCAAAAGTTATGTCTCCTTGATCATAACAAGTGGCAGTGCCTGTAACGGAACCAGGAAAGTTACTTCCTGGAACCGTGGCGTCATAGGTAAACTGGTCCGGGAGCCGGGTTGTCGTTTCCTTGACCAGAATGCCAAGAAGGATATCTACATAGTCAGCGAACGACGCCTGATCTTTCGCCGGAGTGTCGCCGCAAATATCTCCAAGGGAAGTACGCAAATGTCCCCCGCCGGCTAGTAGTACAATAATAACTGTCACCGATGCACCAAATGTGGTGTAGGAGCAACCCATTATTATTGTAATGATATTTGTCCTAGCAAATGTGGCTTCTCGTTTGTTTCTCCCCACTCAATCGGTCGATCGGTAGTGTTTTTCTCCTTTCTCCCCTCTTTTTTTGTTCTTGTTTTTGGGCACTATATACAGTTTCCCCGACGAGCAACCGGAGAAAGCGAATACTCATTTGTTCATGCACGCACTAGGTTACCTAGCTAGGGCCTTCTGCCGGAATGAATAATAATCGCACCGATAACCTCGAAATAAAATTGTACAGATACACAGATATGCCACCGCGCCGGACGCCGGCCAGAACCGGGATCTCTACCTTAGCACCATACTAACTTGTTTAATAATTATTAAATTAAAATAATAATTCTATGCCCAGAGAATTAACTAACCGACATTTTACTAATATTGCTTCTAATCGAATCCCTTCTCGTCCATTTCATTTTATACTCGAATCCCTTCTCGTCCATTTTCCCACTCGATGGATCGGTAGTGTTCTTCCCCTTCTTCCTTCTTCTTTTTTGGTATTTTTGTTTGTTGGCAGATAATTCGTCTACGGATCTCAGCCCTACAACGAGCTTGTATTTGTTAGAGTGTGATATAAGATCCAGCAGAACCTTCTCCCAACAACTCGAGTTATTGGGATCAACTGGTTTTTGATATGGTATCAGAGCCTCAAACCAAAAGGTCATGTGTTCGAATCTCCACGACCCCCAATATTAACCGTTGTCTTTCAAGCACATGGTATGGTGGGCCTGTGCAAACTTCAAGCTCATGGGTTGGCTTTCGTTTGAGGGGGCGTGTTAGAGTGTGATATAAGATCCAGCAGAACCTTCTCCCAACAACTCGAGTTATTGGGATCAACTGGCTCTTGATAGTATTATCGTTAATTATTCTTCGTCCTTACTCTCACTCACCATATGTGCGTCTCTCTGGTCACGTCTATTAATTCGTGAATTTTTTTTTTAAATTCGTCCAACTTCGTATTTACGTTCTCTAAAGGAGGAGCACCAACCCAGTCCCTCGAATTGTGTGGCTTACGGATTACTTAGTGTTGGACAATGTTTAAATTTTTTAATAGAAATGGAAAAAAGTTTAAATCACATAGGTATTCACATTCAGATAAATAATTCTCTACCCGTTCCTAACATCAATGTAAAAGACACTCAATAAATGCACTCATTACTCGACTTTGGCTACGTGATGAAATACTAAATTTCAGCCAATTACCATTAATAGCCAAGGATTATGAAACTGTACTGGAGGTTATACCGAAAAAGTCAGTGGTCAGGTATTGTGTACAAAAATGGTGGTCTATCAATCGGTTTGGGCCGGTACGATAAGATTTCTAAAATATTGCTAATACGGAAACAATAAGTATACTTCTTGTTAGCCCCGATAAGTGAAAGTCTGACCTGGCATCGGTCATCCTATATTCTCAATCAACACTAAGGGTGAACAAAAAAGACTTGCAAACTGACCCACCCATCCAGCCCGACCCAACCTACTCGTATTTAGTGCTAATATTAAGTTTTAACGTTGGGCGAGGGTTTTCTTTTGTAAAACTCGTCTCTTATGTGTTGGATCCGAATTTTGGGATCAGCAACTCTTAGTATCCAACCCAACCCGTGTTTCGACTATTGTCATAATTTTTCAAATCCAAAGCATATTTGTCTCGTATATAAGCAAGTTTGTGAGAAAATTAATATATTTTGTCATATTGTTCTCTCATTGTTTTCCTAACCTAATGAATTATGCGACTTACAATTGAGACGTGATTTTATATAGGCTATAGTACTTCATGTAATATTTTTGTTACAATCTTAGAAGAATAACATATAATGTGGGAAAAACTAGACATATGTCGTAGGAAATTGCATTTCTTTAAAATTCATATAACATCTATGAATTTTGATACTTTTCACCTTGGTTTATTTGTTTGAAATTTTGATTAGTTATATTATAGTTTTTGTGGTGTAAAAATGTTGCATTTTTTTATGTTGGGTTGGGTTTTTACTTGAAAGTATCCTCCACTCGATCCAATCCAATCATAAACAAATTGTAGGGTTCTTATTTTTTTGGGTGGGTTTGAAAATCGTAGTATATAGGTCGAGTAATTAAAATGACTATACCTGGATCACCCGATCCATGTACACCCCTAATTATCACCCCCACCAAATTTTACAATCGACACGTTCTTCTTTCCTTTGTTCCAACCAATCAAGCAATAGTTGGAGCTTTTCTTGTCAAACCAGTCGAAATTCACCCAATCAAACTTACATCGAAGCTTTCCTTTTGTTCCCCAGCCCCAATTGAGCTGGCATCTTGAGATTTCAAACCGTGTCTAGGAGTTCCGATTTGGATTGAGTCGGTTCATTGCTACTTTCTCATTACCGCCCTCATCTCTCTCTCTTTCTCCCTTCCTTCAATCAGTTTGAACCTCTCCTGAGATTTCCTTATATGTATAATATCATAAGAAATAAACGAGATGCAGATCTCAACCTCTTGAAGCACACGAGTTTAATTTGTTCTACTGAAGTCTTGTAATATAAAATGAAGAACTTGAATTAATTTAATTTCGTGATATTTGGGTTGAAGGGTATTCATGAATAATGTAATGATGATTTAATATGTATTCAAGGGTGCTTGTGCAACTTGTTTCATGTTTTGGATTTTTTGGCATCTATTTAGTCGTCGTTTAGAGCATACTATTATGTCTTCGTCATTACCTGACTGACATAGCGTTTTTAGATGTTTTATTTAACTTCAGTGTGCTGTTAGATGAGAGCCCGCATAGATTTGGATCTCGATCAAGATGAGAGGTGAAGAAGAAGTGAAAAATAAATGTAAAAAGGGGTTGGAAGGAGATAAAAATGTATGTTTGGCTATATTTGTCATAAATGTCTATGTTTTAGCACGAACTACTCCCCTCAATAATGATAGGGGAAGAAAGCCATTGTCGCTTAAAGTCCATTTAGTGCGACGACTAGTTTCATCGCTAAAGCAGGTTTTTGATACTCTGCTAACAGCACAAAATATACCTAATTTGGATCCGTTCTTCCAGAGGTGTTTTCACTTTTCATATGTTGTGTCCTTCACTTCTTTATCTGTATTTTTTGATACTCTGCTTTCCACGTACGTATGCACCCTCTCTCTTAATTTTATCTTCAGCACATTATATATGCGAAAAAGGAGATGACAGACCTTATGCAAAGAAAAGAAAATAAAGCAAACAACTGAAATACACTTCATTGGAAACGAAACTGAAATGGAAATAACAAGTTCAAATTCGTGAAATACACATCCTGCAAGTGCATTGCAAGTAAGAAAGCCATATCCCAAACACTAGAGCATTGGTATTTGTTATAGCAAGTCCGTACGTAGGTAGGTAGCGACATAACATCGAGATAGATACATAGATAGATAGATAAAAGTAAGAGATCATCATGTATTGGTGTTCCTCCGATCCATTCAAGTTCAACTACTACTGTAAATTTTCGTGGATTTGAATCATGCACCTTCCTTGAAAGAAAGCTCCCGCGGTAGAAGAGTTCTTTGTGCACTCGTCCAAATACGGCCGCAAATCAGAGAGACAGTTGCCGCAATCCGCAGCAGTTTTGTCCCCTTGATCGTAACAAGTGCCAGTTCCTGAAACGGAACCAGGACCGCCAATTGCTGGGACCGTGGCGTCGCAGGTGAACTTATCTGGGAGCACGGATGTCGTTTCCTCGACCAGCTCGTCAAGAAGGGCACGTGCATAACCGGCGAACGTCGCCTGATCTGTCGCCGCCGTGTCGCCGCAAATAGGATCTCCAAGGGAAGTGCGCAAATGCCCCACGCCGACTAGTAGTACAATAACCGTCGCCATTAGTGATGCAGCAAATGTGGTCGTGTAGTAAGCCATTATATTATTTGTTGTAATGAATGATATTGTCCGTCTGGCTAATTAAACTTGAGAGATATATATAGGATACACCCTAGCTTAGCTTCTCGTTTGTTTCTCTCGATCGATCGGTCGGTAGTGTTTTTCTCCATCTTCCCTCTTTTTTTGTTCTTGTTTTTGGGCACTGTATACGTATGAATATACAGTTTTCCGACGAGCAACCGGAGAAAGCGAATCGGCCGGCTGATATGGATACTCCTTTCTTCTTGCATATATACAAGACTGCATCAATCGTCAACCGATTATTTACATATAATAGGCTTGATACGGCAACGTGAAGGTCGCGGGGAAATTCATGCAGTAGGTTTGAAAACAATTGGGAGAAGTGGGTAAAACCCTAATGCTTGATTCTTCTCATTGATCTGTTTTGCCATTTTATAGGCAGATGGATTACAGAAAAAGACAGCCAAGCTAGTACATTTTGTCTATTAGCTTGGAGAGGAAACAATTACAAACTTGAAACAAAAGAAACAGAGAGGAAGAAGTAAAGTAAAACGACACAGCTTTGGTGATGTTTGCTAGCCACCTGAAACGCTGCCGGATTGGAGAGTGTCTTCAACCTTCGAAATCTTTTGACCGTTGGCATTGAATTTTAGGGATTCATTTCCTGTTACCCCCCCGCAAGCCGGTGGGCAGAGATTCTGGACACCGAGCTTGGACAGTAATTGGAGGAAGGGTCCTGGAGATAAAGGCTTAGTGAAGAGATCAGCCAGCTGGTGAGTTGAGGAGACATGGAATAGCTTGAGAATCTTCGACTGGAGCTTGTCGCGCACCAAGTGACAATCGAGCTCGATGTGCTTGGTGCGTTCATGGAAGGTAGGATTGTCAGCGATGTAAATTGCGCTTTGATTGTCGCAGTAAAGATGAGCTGGTTGTGGATGCAGGACTTGGAAGTCCCGTAGCAGATAAAGAATCCATTGGAGTTCACAAGCAGAGAATGCCAGAGCTCGGTACTCGGCTTCGCAGGAAGAACGCGAGACAGTTTGCTGCTTTTTGCTCTTCCAGGAGATGAGGGATTCACCCAGGTAAACACAATAACCTGTGATTGATCTGCGTGTGTCAACACAAGCAGCCCAATCAGAATCTGAGAAAGCTTTGAGTTGAAATTGACCTTTAGATGAGAAGAAGATGCCCGTGGCTGGGGCACATTTTAGATATCTTAGGATCCTTTGAACTGCTTTGAAATGTTGAACACTTGGGTTGCCCATGAACTGACTCACTTGCTGTGTTGCAAAGCTGATATCAGGGCGGGTTGTTGTTAGGTAGATGAGTTTTCCCACTAAGGTTCGATAGAACTCAGGATCTTCAAAAGGCTGGTCACAGGTGCTGGTGAGGTGAGTTTTGTAGTCCATAGGAGTCGTGACTGGTCTTGAGTCCAATAAGTTTGCCTCTTCAATAATCTCAAGGGCATATTTTCTTTGAGAGAGATGAATACCTGAATTGTTCCTTGCTACTTCCATACCAAGAAAAAACCTGAGAACACCTAGGTCTTTAATGCTGAACTCAGAATGAAGAAAGTCTTTGAGTTGCTGAATGGCGTTTAAATCATTGCCTCCAACCAATAGATCATCCACATAGATGAGGATGCAGGTATAACTTGAATCAGTGACTTTGTAAAACAAAGAGTGGTCTGCTTTGCTCTGAGAATATCCAACATGCTGTAGTTTATCAGTGAGTTTAGAAAACCACTGCCGGGAGGCTTGCTTGAGTCCATAGATTGACTTCTTAAGTCGACAAACTGGATTTTGGAAACCAGGAGGTGGAGTATATCCCTTAGGGAGAGTCATGTACACCTCCTCTTGTAAATCACCATGGAGGAAGGCATTATTCACATCCAATTGGTGAATATGCCAATTCCTTAAAGCAGCAACAGCTAGAAAAGTTCTGATGGTAGTCATTTTAACAACTGGGGCAAAAGTGTCCTGATAATCAACTCCCTCCTGCTGTGTATATCCTTTGGCAACAACCCTTGATTTGAATCTTTCAATGGTACCATCCTGATGAATTTTGATTCTGTACACCCACTTATTACCAATAGGCTTCTTACCTTGAGGCAGTTCAACAACATCCCATGTTTGATTTTGAATGAGAGCTCGGATTTCATGTTTCATAGAATCATTCCACTCATCTGATTTAGAGGCTTCTGTATAGGTAGTGGGCTCAACATAGGAAGATAAATTCATGACAAATGTTTTGTAAAAGGGTGAGAGATTGTCATAAGAGACCATGGAAGAGAGACCATACCTTGAGTCTTGGACCTGTTGCTGAAGTGAGTGACCAGTGCTATTAGATTGAGAGGCAAGGTAACAGTGGTAATCTTTGGTTAAGTGAGTGGGGGGTTTTGATGGTCTTGCTGATTTTCTAGGCTGAATGGTTGGAGGAGCTGGAGGGGGTGAAGGAGAATTTGAAGGAGTAGAACTATTGGAAGGTGTGGTTTGGGAGGTAGAGGATGAAGTGGGAGAGGAACTGTTTGAATGAGATGGTGTAGTTGGTAGAGGTGACTGAGGTAATGGTGTAGGTTGAGAAATAGGGGGATCATGAAGGAGGGAACTGGTTGGTTCAGGAAGAGGGAATAGGAGATCAGAATCAGGGTTTGTGGTTGGTTGGGATTCAGAAGAATGAAATGGAAAATGAGATTCATAAAAGATTACATCCCTTGAGACAAAGACATCATGGGAATCAAGATCATAAATTTTGTAACCCTTTATACCAGGCTTGTAACCCAAAAACACACCCTTTCTTGCTCGTGGTTGAAATTTGGTTCTATGATTAGCTAAGGTAGAGGCATAACACAAACAACCAAAAACCTTTAAGTCGGTAAGATCAGGGGGGAGGTTGTACAGCTTTTCATAGGGAGTTTTGTTGTGAAGAACAGAAGAAGGAACACGATTGATAAGAAAAACTGCATGTTTTATGCAGTCACTCCAGAAACCAGGTGGCAGGTCAGCCTGGAATTTGAGGGCTCTGGCCACAGCAAGAATATGCTGATGTTTTCTTTCCACTCTACTGTTTTGTTGAGGGGTCTCTACACAAGACATTTCATGGAGAATGCCCTGTGAATCATAGTAATCAGTCATTTCAAATTCCTTTCCTTGATCACTTCGAATTCTTTTAATTGTTGTTTGGAATTGCCTTTGCATTTGGTTGCAAAAGGCAATCAATTTTGGTCTGGCTTCTGATTTGAGTTGAAGCAAAATGACCCAGGTCATTCGTGAAAAATCATCAACAATTGTAAGAAAGTACTTGTAGGAATCATAAGAAGGGACTGGATTAGGCCCCCAAATATCAACATGTAAGAGTTCAAAAGGATGTAGGGTTACATTTTGACTCAATGGAAAAGGCAGTCTCCTTTGCTTGGCAAAGTGACAGACATCACAAGGTAAGCCCTTTTGAGTTTCAATAGAGCTACAAAATTGATTGAGATAAGGAACTTTAGAGTGAGACAGGTGTCCTAATCTAAAATGCCATAAATCAAAAATGTTTGATTTTGCAACAGAGATGATCTTAGGATGACTAGGGGCTTCTAGGTAGTAAAGGCCATTGGTCAATCTAGCAGAACCAGTCACTCTCTTCTGCTCCAGGTCCTGTATGACACAAAGGTTGGAGTGAAATGTTAAACTGAGTGAATTTTGAGCAGTGAGTTTGCTGACTGAGACTAAATTGAAACTGAAACCAGGAACAAAGAGAGCATCCTGAAGAGTTAACTCAGGAGTGCAATGAATTGTGCCTTTATAAGTGGCAGGGATTTGTTGTCCAGTGGGCAAGGTTATGAACACACCAGATATAGGGATAGGATGAAGAAGGTAATCAAGGCAAGAAACAATATGATCAGAGGCACCAGTGTCCAAGATCCATGTGAAACTGTGATTTGGATTGATATGGTTTGGTGCTGATAAGAAACATGTACCTGATGGGGTAGTGGTAGTTGTAAATGCAGCAGCTGTGTGAGGAGAGTGCTGCTTAGAGTTCCCAACTAGAGCCATTAGCTTGTCATAATCAGCCTTTGAAAGCTTAACAGAATCATCAGGAGATGTGATTGCAGAATGAGCATATCCTCTGCCTCGTCCATATGAAGAGGTGGTAGTCCTGGGAACATAGGTGGCTGGAAAACCATGTTTCTTAAAACATTTGTCCTCAGGGTGGCCATGTTTACCACAGAAAGTGCATTCAATCACATTGGATGATGTAGACATAGGAGGGGATCGAGTTGACATTCCTGGTGGAAAACCATGTTTGATAAAACAAACTTCCTCTGTGTGCCCCTCTCTTTTGCAGTAAACACAGTAAGGCCTTTTTGGAGCAGTATTAGGTCTTCTGTTGATACCTTGAATGGCTAGAGCAGAGGTATCAGCAGTTACAGAAGCAATGAGTTTGCCTCGTTGAGTACCATATAACTGCCTCTCATGCTGTAACATACGTTGGAAAACCCTGTTGATGTTGGGTAACTCATCCCCAAACAGAACTTGGGAGCGAACAGCAGAGAAATTGTCATTCAAACCTCTTAAAAACTTAATAACATAGCTTGTTTCCTGATATTCATGAACCAGCTTCATGGCTTGGCATGTGTTGTGACTAGTGGTAGTACAAGCACAAGGAATTAGAGGCTGATAATTGTCCAGTTCATCACGAAGAGTAATAACCTTGCCATAGTATTCAGTAACGGTTTGTGTACCCTGTTTTAAACTACAGAGTTCTTCTTCTATTTCAGCAACTCGAACAATGTCACCAGAACCATACCTTGTTTGTAAACTCTTCCATGCCTCGGATGCAGATTTGCTCGAAAGAATGGTCTTGCGTATCTCAGATTCAACAGCTTGTTGTATCCAGCTTAAGATCATAACGTTGTTTCTCACCCAGGCATTTCTCTTCGGATCTGTTTCTGCAGGTTCAGGAATGGCGTCATTGAGGAAACCCAGCTTGTTCTTTGCAGCAAGGGCGTTGAACATGGCGCGGCTCCAGTCATTGTAGTTTGTTGGGGTGAGCTTCTCGCTGACCAAGAGAGAACCAGGTTGCTCAGAACCATGAAGGAAGTATGGATCTTCCATTGGGTAAGGAGTGTTTAAGTTTTCACCAGATGCAGAAGCATCTTGATGGGTTTCGTTTGTGGCCATGGCGGCGCCCTAGGGCTCTGATACCATGAAAACAATTGGGAGAAGTGGGTAAAACCCTAATGCTTGATTCTTCTCATTGATCTGTTTTGCCATTTTATAGGCAGATGGATTACAGAAAAAGACAGCCAAGCTAGTACATTTTGTCTATTAGCTTGGAGAGGAAACAATTACAAACTTGAAACAAAAGAAACAGAGAGGAAGAAGTAAAGTAAAACGACACAGCTTTGGTGATGTTTGCTAGCCACCTGAAACGCTGCCGGATTGGAGAGTGTCTTCAACCTTCGAAATCTTTTGACCGTTGGCATTGAATTTTAGGGATTCATTTCCTGTTAAGGTTAGCTAGCTAGGGCCTTCTGCCGGCGGAATGAATAATAATCGCGCCGATAACATCGAAATAAAATTGTAAAGGTATAGATATGCCACCGCGCCGGACGCCGGCCAGAACTGAGATCTCTCCCTTGGGGTATGATTATGTTTTTTTTTTTTGTTTTTTTTTTGTTTTTGTTTTTTGGCATACATATTTCAGGACGGAATAGCAGGATACGAGATAATATATAATCAGTGGTGGAATCACCTTGGGCCAAAGTGGGTCGGCTACACTAGTTTGATTTTGCAACACACAAACAAAAATTATCAATAACAACTCAAGTATCTAACCACAAAAAAGTAAATCAATATGACTCTTATAAAGATATGGAATTATCAATCTCTCTTACACTATATAACGTATTAACATTGTTAAGTCGTTTTATTTTTATAATTTAACATCTAATTTCTTTATTTATTAGTATCTTTTACATTAATCCAAAAAACACGATTGTACCAGTCTTTATTACCTATCACAATTCCTAATACGATCTCCCCAAAATTATCGCCAATCTATTGTATTCTACTCACAGACCATGATTCTGAAATTCCCACAAGCCACAACCTCTATATAATAATGATGTTAGGCGTCAAATGCTAGCTACTCGGTTTGTCCACTTGCGGCTCGTCGTTCTCTAGCATATTCACCATCTGTTTAACAGCAAAAAAACTCATCTTGTTTCTCGAATACGTTGCCTATGACATTATAGCATTCCCCAACATATGATTTAGGTTGTCAACTATCATTTGATGCTAACCGTTCACAAAGATCTATACTGTTGTTCAATCCATTTTAACTGTATTCCTGGGCCCTGGCTACGTCAGTGTATATAATTATGCTGTTTGAATTCAATTGAAATTTATAGTATTTATCTGGTACATCAGCAAAGGGCGGACCTAAGCGGTGTGTAAGGTGTCAACTTGGGAGAAAATTAACCCAAAAAAAAAAAGACGAATGAAAAAATAAATGGTAGTTCATGTGTTTCAAACATAGGAAGAGCTATACTTCTTTTTTTTTTTACGAAACCTAATTTCATTACGAAATAGGAGAGTGTTACAAAGTTTGGACCAAAGTCCAGGAAGGATGAAAGACAAGTTCCAAAGAACAAGAAGTCCAAAACAACTCACAACCAAACCAACTACAAAAAGGCACAAAGAAAACAAATGAAATGAAAAGAAAACCAAACCTCAAACCTACACGAGAAACAAACGAAAAAGCCCACAACCCCACGCTTACGATCACCTCCCAAACAAAGTCCAAAAACAACCCTACCCCAACAAAAAAGCAAACACCAAAGCATAGCAACATGCGCAGCCACCACCAGCACCGTGCCGCACCGCCAACCCAATGCCATCGCCGCCACCAACCCAACAAGCATCGCCGACGACCACCGCCAACAGAAAACGCTGCCACCACCCCAACAACCCCACCATCGACCACGGCCTCAGCACCCACACAACACAACCGCCACCGCCGCACCTTGCAACCAGCAACAGCCGTAGACCACCAACGATGAAAACGAACCACCCCCACATCCTCAGAATCCGCCACCAAAAAACCCCTATCCAGCACATGAGCACCCGGAGGAAGTCCTTCGCAACAAGCACCAATGCACCCCCACCAACCTTGAAGCCCACCGCCGCCATCAACACCAAACCCAAAACAACAACAAACAACGATTGTCGAAGACAGGCACAAGCAGCCAACAGATGAGAACGCCACCCAACCTGCACAAACCCACCCCGAAACAACACCTCCAACAAACATAGCACCCACACCAACCAAACCCGCCGCCGACTCCCAGACACCACCAAGCGAAACGAACCACAAGAAAAAGAGACAGAGCATCAAAACCTCAAAGAAAAGCCAAACATCCCTACAACCACCTAGTTTACAGTAGAACCATCGGCATCAAGCCAAACCACCGAATCACTGCGCCATTTTGAGTGAAGCAAGGAGGAGATCAGCTCCAAAAGTCAACAAGAAAGTTGTAAATTGCAAAGCAATTCCCTCTGTACACAAAGAATGGTTTCAAGATCTGGTAACAGATCTGAAATGTGGAAGAGGAAACATCTCCTAAGAGAAGTTCATGGCAAAATCCACTTAGAGAAAATAGCAAAAATAGAAATGGAGAACCCACTAAGGGGATGGAAAAGGAAACATCATAATGAATATTAGAAGAGGTGATTTGGGTTGTCGTCGGTCACACAGAGAAGAAGCCGGGCGGCTTCTCCCGGAGAATGGAGTGGGAAAGTTAGAGAGAGGTCAGAGCAATTTGAAACAAGAGAGAGAGAGAATGATTTGATTTGTAGTAGGTTAAGTGTGCTCTGGTTCTCACGAGCTATACTTGTTGGTAACCATGTTTTTCATTTTACTCCACTTTATTGTTTACTCTAATTTTAACAGAAATGTAATTATAAACGTGTAATCCTTGTTCTCAATATTTCAATAATATAAAACTAAACCCATAAGCTACCATTTATGGCTCATAATATTCCAACACACGATTTATCTAAAGTGTTTGGTTTTTCTGATTGTTTTCTTCCATGGGATCTTCAAAATTATTATTATTGTGACAAGAATGATGAGTTTAAGTGGATTAAAAATTATTTTTTTTAACTTGTACTAGTCGGATATTTTCATATTTAAGTTTTTTAATAATTTTAAAAATAAATTTATTTTAATTTTTGAAGGGATAACCGTGCATAATATTTCTCAATCCGCGTAATCTCATGTATGGTTTAAATAGTTAGGCATATACGTTGTATGTCTATTTATCTAAACATATATTTATAGTGGAATGAGAAAACCGCAATCCCCATTTCAAATTTTATGACCTGAGAGTAATTCTAAGAAGGACATTTTCATACGTTCACCCAATTTATGTTTGTATATTAAAAATATTATTATTGAGATTTGAATCCTAGACACTTAACTGAAGGAAGAGTACTACCAACTAGGCTACATTATTGCATATATTGCAGTGTCTTTGATTTAACTCTAGACACATATTTGTTGTTGACGGTTTCATATTTATATTTTACCTGAAGATTATAGAAAGAGTTTAATTCTGAAATCGAAGTTACCTATAGCCTTAGAGCCTGTTCACTTTTATTTTTGTTTCAGGTTTCCATTCCATAAATTTGGCAATGGACCGAGAAAATATGTTTACTTTTTATTCTATTTTCTATTCATTTCCAACTCTGAAAACATAAAGTGGTAGCTTCTATTATTTTCGAAAATAAAAAAAAAATATTGTTTCCGCCAATTTCCAACATATGCTCATATTTTCAACGAAATTCTTTCTTCTTCTTATTGATGAGGTTTAATATTTCACTGACATTACTCACAATTATTTTTTAATACTTTTATTTTAGTCCTTTAATTTTTCTCTTTTAACTTTTCTCTTTTATTAGATATAATTTCATCTTATAGACTATTTAAAACCAAATGAATCAATAGTTTATTTCAATTCGAAATGAATTAGTGTGTGAAGTTCATTTTCAAAAGAATTCCTAATTTGGAATACTATCCCAAATTATAATTGGAACACATTTATAATGGAATCAAATGAAACCTTCAAAAATGTATCCTAATTTAATAACTAAATTAGAAAATGATGTGTATTCAAACTCAATCATTGAAAGCATGCACAAATTACATGACATGGAATTCGAAAAGTAACAATGTCATTACTTAGCATATTCAAAATTTATCTTTGAAAATGAGTTGCTTTGTATTTCAAACAAAAAAAACTTCCATTTCAATATAAGGTTTTACAGAAATTACAATTTCCATATTCACCAAAAAGGCCACCTAAACATGTTTTCATCATCAGGTTTTCCGGAATCGTTTCTCAAAAAATGACAACTTACTTTTCTTCAAATTTCTTTTTTCATTTGCAAAATCATAGAAAAAACCGGAATGTGAAGTGAACGGGTACTTAGTGAGTCAAGTTTGAGTTAGTCAATCAACACATCCCCTATAATATATAGCAGTTCTTCGGGAGATTGATAGTCAATATCACTAACCAACTAGACTACAACAATGTTTATATATTTTTTGAATTAAAGAGTAAAAAATACTGAAATATCTCAAAATCATAGGACTATCCACCGCAACAATCAATCATCTAATTAATTAATAACTGTAATTATTTACAAAGTGAATCATCATGATATACCTAGCTTTATGAATCAACTAAGTGAGTTCCTCTAATCACACAATTCTTCACCAAGAATCAAATAGTACATTTTGAGTTTATGTATGTCTTACAACTTTTACATTTATTAGGTTACATAACTTTGTAGTTTGTAGGAATACAAGGATTGTTTACAAAAGTGCTATACAAAATTTTATTTCCAAACATAAAATTTGACATTTGTGATCTATGGTTTTGTAACGAGACATCTTCAATGCTATAAGTGAATGACCAAAAATCATTCGCTAACAATTTCCCTAATGGTTGACAATTATAAGCATAGAATTGAAAGACTAAACACCATTGACAAATGAGCCAATTATCATTGGCTAAATTTCACAAACAATGATATGTGTATATACATTGGAAATTCTATGGTACGCTCGATGGATTGAGGCTTATTGCATCTCCTTAGTTAAATAACATTATCTAGACCATAGATTAATCACGTAACTAAACCCTATATCATAATTC